ATCCCCCGGGCTGCAGGAATTCGATTGATTCCGTTCAACAGTTTAAAGACTTCATCTACTATATCTCAAGTTGTTCACGTTATATGCATAGGATCAGAGGCTGAGCATTATCACAGGTTACTGAGTGAAGCTGGGGCATACACTCTCGGTACACTGTACTGGCAACTAATGAGTATCAGTCATTATATTATGATAGTTGAATTTATTGTAATTTATTGTAATAGAACGATATCTGGCAGGCCCAGACCTGGTCCTCTGTTGAATATGCTGGAAGATGGAAGTTACTGCATTATGCAATGAGGAGGGTAAGTGCTTACCTTATAGTGGGAAATTTCGGAGAGGATTAAGTTTGGTGAATTTGGCATTTTGATAGCCATTCACCAAAATAAAAACCAGCCATTTTGAGTCATTATGCGCATGCTCAATGGCACATGGCCACAAATTTACCAAATTAAAATCTGCCAATCACCAAAATTTAGCAATTCGCTAAAATTTAGCCCCTCCAAATTTACCTGCTATACGGTATATACAAACATTGATTTTAAAAATATTTTGTGTCTGTTAATGTGCTATAGATTTATTCTGATGTCTCTGTCACTGCGTATCAATTGAATGGCTCTATTGCAGTTTATGTCACTGTCGATGATCCACAGATGACTGCTAAGTATTCACTTTCAGTTGACATCATATCTTGGGATGTAAGACAGTAATACACACAATAGCTATGTACTATTGATTGTGTATGGTGTATAGGGTAAAACAGTATCTCAGAAGAGTATGCCAAACTTACAATCTGAAGGATTTACAGGAACAAAAGTAGCTGAATACAAGATTAGTGATATATTTCAAGGAAGTGTTACAGTAAATGATGCTTATCTGCATATTTGGATAACTGAAGGTAAAGCACAAAGCACTACTTAGTACTTTCTACTTAAAATATTAAAAAATAATAATTTTGTATTAATTCAATATTTATGTACATGTAGATGGTTCGAATACAATCCTTTCTTCTACTCATTTCTTTCCTGGAAACTTTACAAAAATAAATCTTCCTTCGGCTAAAATAACAGTCAGTAACGTCACGTCAATATCATCAAATGAAGTATCGGTAAGTCTCTATTATGATATTATCACTAATAATTGCTGAAATATAACTTTACTTTTTGACTGTTTTTAGTTCAGTCTCCAATCTGATGCAACTGCAGTTTATGTGATGTTGGATAGTGGAGCTTTGGAAGGATATTTCAGGTGAGATTATCCTCAATATTTAATACACATGTATACTTAATACTGCAAGTATTGAAAGTGTTCTATTCTTATTGTCTATAGTGATAATGGATTCTTAATGACTCCAAACACAGTCTACAATATGAACTTCACTTCCTGGTCTGACATTTCAACTCAAGACTTTAGCAAGAACATAGTAACAAGGTTTGTATCAACAATTAGTGGTTTGTATTATCATTAATCATTATAATTAGGTCACTGGTTGACACTTACTAGTTGCTCTCAATTAAACTTAAATTTAATAAAAAAGGCTATATTATTATTATTACTTCCTTTATGCTGTGCTATTATTGCTGATATGTGGTATGTGTGACGTTGATTTTGACAAATTT